CCTTTAACCCTCCTATTATGTTCCGGGTCAATTTGACCCGTTTCAAAGTTTAAAAATTAAAAAAAAAAGAAGTATTTTTTCTGCATGAAACTTTTTCTATTTGTCTTAATAGGTGCACTCTATGTATAAAATGAAAATGGTTCATTTTACACACTTGCAGCCCCCCCTAGGTCCATTTGTTACAGACGTACTGTTATGGGTCAATTTGACCCGCCATACAAGTTGAAGGGTAAAAAGGTTAAAACAATGTCCAATTCTATTTGTTTCCTTGCACCTATGAGACATATTTCACCACACACACACACACCACACCACACATGCATGAACACACACACACACCACACACACACACCACACACACACCTAAACATGCACACAAACCCACTCTTTCACTATTCTCTTTACTTCACTAGGAAGCTGCCAGAAAGCAGGTGTTCATGCAACTTTTGACAGGAACCTTTTCTGTTCCTGTGGGCAAACTCCACCCACACTGAGTGGACACTCAGCAGAAGTGGGGGGGGGACATAAATACTCTCTGCAAGGGAGTCCTAAACGCATTACACACTGAAGGTACATGTAATATCGTCACTGTTGGAGATCAGGAAATGAGCAGCAGGGAAATAAAAAGATGACAACCATGGAAGCTCTGGAACTTCTTGATGATTATTCACATCACAAACATCAAGTCAGTCATTCATAAAGATCACCCCTGGCATTCAGAGGTCGCTGCTCATTTACACTATATATGCCTTCCACACCAGCTAAATATGACATAAAAATCTGGGCAGCATGTGATGAAAAACCCAGTTATGTTTTGGACATGCAGGTTTAAACTGGAAATCCACCTGGAGGATCATCTTCAGGACTCATTTGTCTTGATTTTAGTCAGCAGGTCAATTTGACCCAGGGCAGAATAGTGTCTCAAGTTCAATTATAAAGATGACCCCTTCAAAAAAAAATCTAAATGTAATATAAAAAAATTTACAAAAAGTCACTTTCAAAGATACTTAGTGTTATTTTGTGTTTAGGTTTTTCAGTGGCCATAAAAAAAATGTAAATCACATTTTTTTATGTCCGAATGAGTAAATTGTTGTCATTGATCCTTTATTTGTGAGGAATAAAAAACATAATTGCACAAATATTGATTGAAATGGTTAGTATAGGAGTTAATAATCAGACACAAAAAAGATTTGGAGGATTTTTTTTTTTTCTGACACGATAGGTGTTCCCGGGTCAAATTGACCCGGGAACATTATAGCTGTACATCAGAAACGAACATAATACGAGGGTTAAACCAAACAAAGTTTGAGGTTTGTAGGTGGACCAGATTCACTTTTTTGGTTTGCATCAGAGTTCGGTTACACATTCACACCTCACCAAATGAACCAGACCGCTCCAGAACCAGGAAGTGGACTACAACACAAGGCATTCTGGGTAAACACATCCAAAACAAAGAGTCTAGTGTCAGCAGAAGAAATTTATTTTATCAAAGACAAAGAAATCCTACAGCCACTAAAATTTGATGCTACTCCATTTTTGTTTACATTTCATGAAGCAGGAAGTTGCGCTCAGTGTCTTCTTCAGAGGTTTTTGGTGCAGCGCCCCCAGAGGTCAGGAGGGGAACAGGTTTTTTACTTAGTTTGTATTGTTTGACACAGAGCAGTGTGAACGTGAACCGCAGCAGCTGAAAATATAATAAATGTTGCAACTTTGGTCCCCATTAGAACCGAGTCTACCTGGCTATCAGGTGTGAAAACTCTCTAAATCAGGGAATCCTTCGTCCGGTTCTCAAAAGCTACTTTTAGGTAGCTGCTGCTACTTCTTCTCCTCACCAGAGTCAAATGAGCAGCTCATCACCATTTCTCTGCAGAGCTGAATGATCTGCTGATGAGGAAATTCATCTGTTTTATTCAGACCTGTTGGAGCGTCTAAAACTCAAAGCGCTGCAGCTCTTGAGGAGAGAACCGGAGCACCTCTGCTCTAATTCGTTTACTTCCCCTGTTCCAACCTCTCCAAGGTTGTTTTCTCTCAGCTCAAGGATGTAAAGGTTTGCAGACTGCTTGTACAAACATTTTTTTAACGAACGGGTCGCTCTCAGGAGCTCGGTGAATTCAGGCATGGCAGTGTGAGAGGATGCCACCTGTGCAGCAAGTCTAAACATTCAGCGATCAACTGTTAGTGGTATCAGCAAATAGGAACAACAGAAACCCAGTCAAGGAGAAATAATGGTGAGCTGAAGCATGCCGAGCTGCTCAGTGTGCAGAAATCAGCTGTGCTTTAGAGATACAAACCAGCCAGACAGAGAAAAGGCTTTTCTCTTAAAGTTTTGATTTAATTACTGCTCCGCATGTGTTGTTTCTTAAGCAAACTGCCTTATTTATGAGTCTGAATACTCCAATTAGCTATTAATCAAATACTAAATTAGGTGGAGATTATCTCAATAATCAATCAATCACGATTAATTTGATTTTTACTCTAACCACTTTGGTATGTTATAAATCTATCAAAAAGTGCAAATAAGCAAATAATTCAAGTCCTCTTTGTAAGAAGAAAATTAACATTTTATTGCCTAAGAGGTAAAAATATAGCATTCCTTTAGGAAAACTGAACAAAGTTATTTCAATAATCTATTATTCATGATTAATCGTTTCAGCCTTAATCATGATAAAAAAAAAAAAACGTAATATGATGAAAGATGCAATAAATCCCCACCATGACGTTTCTGGCTGTATTTTACCAGGTTAACTAGAGGAAGAACTGCAGTTCAAACAGATCGAAGTTCATAGCTTACCAAGCTCCGCCCAGAAACGCCCCCAAAAGTCCCACGTGGCTGCATGTCTCACAAACAAAGCCTCGCGGAGCTTAGTTTCTATGTAAACATGGCGTCTTTTACTGCGATTGACTCTGCAGAGTATTTCTGAGTCGATTAGTGTAGCATTTCTGCCGGATTTTCACAAAATATCAGCCACGACAATGGACAG